TGTCTCGTCATTGGGGGAATTATTCATATGGATTACGCTTGTTCGGCTGTTTGGGAGACTGACTGGTTTGTGTGATTGCTGTTCGGGAGACTTATTGGTTCGTGTGATTGCTGTTCGGCAGTTTGGAGCGCTCAGTGGCTACCTCTGCATTCGGGAAGGGAATGTCCAATACGGCTGTAACCCCTCTCCTACTGGGGGAGCCGTAACAGAGTTGAAGTTCCAGAAGGCCAAATAGAAGATGTAGAGAAAAGCTATAAGTACCTGGGGGTACCACAAACGCAATGCAACCATGAGGAAGAGGCAAGGAGGATAGCAACATCCAAGTACCTCCAAAGAGTCAGACAGGTCCTGAAGTCCCAGCTCAATGACAAGAACAAGATCCAAGCCATCAAAACATATGCCCTACCGGTAATCAGGTACCCAGCTGGAATAATAACCTGGCCAAGAGAAGAATTAGTCACCATGGATGTCAAGACCAGGAAACTACTCAATATGAATGGAGGATTCCATCCAAAATCCAGCACCCAGAGACTGTACATCTGCCGGAAGGAAGGAGGTCGGGGCCTGATGAGTGTCAAAGCCACAGTCCTGGATGAAACACAGAGCATCCACAAGTACATCATGAAGATGGCTCCCAAAGATGAACTGCTAAGGGAATGCCTGAGACTTCTTTGGCAAGACAACCCTCTCCATGGGGTGTACCACTGGCAGATAGTGGATGTGGCTCACATGCCAAAATCCCACCAGTGGTTGGAAAAGGCAGGACTGAAAGACAGCACAGAGGCACTAATCCTAGCAGCACAGGAGCAGGCACTCAGCACCAGATCAATAGAAGCTGGAGTCTACCACACCAGGCAAGACCGAAGGTGCAGACTGTGAAAATAGGCCTCTAAGACAGTCCAGCACCTAGTAGCCAGATGCAAGATGTTAGCAGGAACAGCATACACGGAGAGACACAACCAAGTTGCTGGAATTGTGTACCGAAACATCTACACAGAATATGGATTGGACCTGCCTAAGTCCAGATGGCAGATACCACCAAGGGTAGTTGAGAATGACAGGGCTAAGATCTTGTGGGACTTCAAGATCCAGACAGAGAAGCAAGTGCTGGCCAACCAACCCGACATTGTGGCGGTAGACAAGGAACGAAAGTTGTGGTGGATGTGGCAGTACCCAGTGACTATAACATAAGGAAGAAGGAACATGAGAAGGTGGACAAATACCAAGGACTGAAAGAAGAACTAGAAAGGATGTGGAAAGTGAAGGTGGTAGTAGTCCCAGTCATCCCAGTTGTGAAAGGATAGCTGTGACTCCCAAGCTGGGGGAGTGGCTTCAACAGATTCCAGGTGGGACATCTGAGATCGCTGTCCAGAAGAGTGCAGTTCTAGGAACAGCTAGGATACTGCGCAGAACCCTCAAACTCCCAGGCCTCTTATAGAGGGCCCGAGAATGAGGCATAAACTTACCACCCAGTAGGGGTGAGAAAATTATATATATATATATATATATATATATATACTGCCTGGCCAAAAAAAAGTCGCCACGTGGATTTAACTAAGCAAATAGGTAAGAGCCTCCTATTGGATAGTTACTGCATGGGCGATTATCTTTTAGCTGGCAACAAGTTATTTAACCCCAACCGATGCAATGAGTAGCTCCTCATTTCTTAAACAACCATGTCAAAAGACACATCCCGTGGTCGTGGAAAAGATGTTAGTTTGTTTGAGAAGGGTCAGATCATTGGCATGCATCAAGCAGAGAAAACATCTAAGGAGATTGCAGAAACGACTAAAATTGGGTTAAGAACTGTCCAGCGCATTATTAAATTTGGTCTGATGAGTCCAGATTTACCTTGTTCCAGAGTCATGGGCACATCAGGGTAAGAATAGAGGCAGTGAAGTGATGCACCCATCATGCCTAATGCCTACTGTACAAGCCTGTGGGGGCGGTGCTATGATCTAGGGTTGCTGCAGTTGTTTAGGTCTAGGTTCAGCAACATTGTGTGCCCAAAGAATGAGGTCAGCTGACTACCTGACTATACTGAATGACCAGGTTATTCCATCAATGGAATTTTTCTTCCCTGATGGCACAGGCATATTCCAAGATAACAATGTCAGGATTCCTCTGGCTCAAATTGTGAAAGAGTTGATCAGGGAGCCATCACTTTCACACTTGGATTGGCCACCACAGAGTCCAGATCTTAACCCCATTGATAATCTTTGGGATGTGCTGGAGAACGCTTGTGCGGTGGTCCGACTCTCCCATCATCAGTATAAGATCTAGGTGAAAAATGAATGCAACACTGGACGGAAATAAATCTTGTGACACTGCAGAAGCTTATCAAAACAATTCCACAGCGAATGTGTGCCGTAATTAAAGCTAAAGGTGGTCCAGCGAAATATTAGTGTGTGACCTTTTTTTTTGGTGGCGACATTTTTTGGGGCCAGGCAGTGTATATATATATATATATATATATATATATATATATTTATATGTATATGTATACATACACTTATTGTAGGTCAACAGTTAATAGTTTCTGTCTTTAAAAACCTAAAAAAAAAAACAGAATAAGAAGGAAATAATAGTGCAATATGTCACATCTATTTTAAAGGATTAACCCAATAAAAAACTAAGTCACACTCACGCTGAATCACATGGATGATTTAAATAACCAAGCAGGAAATAAGCAGATACCAAATGATGAGTGGCGAAACGCATCTCAGACGGTTTGAAGCACCTGCAGACTTTGTGACTACCAAATTCTTTTGATTTTCATAATTTTTTTATACTTTAATTAATGTTTGCTGCTACATATATCTAAGCATAGTGAATACCAAAACCATATCTGCTTCCACCATTTAAAGGAGGGTTGTGTCTCCCTACAAAGACATACTTGCTGAATCCCTCACAGCGAGGATATAAGGGCTCTGAACGAGGCGAGCAGGGTATACGCTTGCTGAATACCCCACAGCGAGGATATAAGGGCTCTGAACGAGGCGAGCAGGGTATACACTTGCTGAATATACCACAGCGAGGATATAAGGGCTCTGAACCATGCGAGCAGGTTATATGCTTGCTGAATCCCTCACAGCGAGGATATAAGGGCTCTGAACGAGGCTAGCAGGGTATACGCTTGCTGAATACCCCACAGCGAGGATATAAGGGCTCCGAACAAGGCGAGGGGGTTATACGCTTGCTGAATACCCCACAGCGAGGATATAAGGGCTCTGAACCATGCGAGCAGGTTATACGCTTGCTGAATCCCTCACAGCGAGGATATAGGGGCTCCGAACGAGGCGAGCAGGTTATACGCTTGCTGAATACCCCACAGCGAGGATATAAGGGCTCCGAACGAGGCGAGCAGGTTATACGCTTGCTGAATACCCCACAGCGAGGATATAAGGGCTCCGAACGAGGTGAGCAGGGTATACGCTTGCTGAATCCCCTACAGCGAGGATATAAGGGCTCCGAACAAGGCGAGCAGGTTATACGCTTGCTGAATACCCCACAGCGAGGATATAAGGGCTCCGAAGCAGGTTAGCTTGCTGAAAGCAGGTTATACGCTTGCTGAATCACACAGCGAGGATATAGGGGCTCCGAACGAGGCGAGCGGGTTATACGCTTGCTGAATCCCTCACAGCGAGGATATAAGGGCTCCGAACGAGGCGAGCGGGTTATACGCTTGCTGAATCCCTCACAGCGAGGATATAAGGGCTCCGAACGAGGAGAGCAGGTTATACGCTTGCTGAATCCCTCACAGCGAGGATATAAGGGCTCCGAACTAGGCGAGCAGGTTATACGCTTGCTGAATACCCCATAGCGAGGATATAAGGGCTCTGAACGAGGCTAGCAGGGTATACACTTGCTGAATACCCCACAGCTAGGATATAAGGGCTCTGAACGAGGCTAGCAGGTTATACGCTTGCTGAATACCCCACAGCGAGGATATAAGGGCTCCAAACAAGGCGAGGGGGTTATACGCTTGCTGAATACCCCACAGCGAGGATATAAGGGCTCTGAACGAGGCTAGCAGGGTATACACTTGCTGAATACCCCACAGCGAGGATATAAGGGCTCCGAACAAGGCGAGCAGGTTATACGCTTGCTGAATACCCCACAGCGAGGATATAAGGGCTCCGAACGAGGTGAGCAGGGTATACGCTTGCTGAATCCCCTACAGCAAGGATATAGCGGCTCCGAACGAGGCGAGCAGGTTAGACGCTTGCTGAATCCCTCACAGCGAGGATATAAGGGCTCTGAACGAGGAGAACGGGTTATACGCTTGCTGAATCCCCCTCACAGCGAGGATATAGGGGCTCCGAACGAGGCGAGCAGGTTATACGCTTGCTGAATCCCTCACAGCGAGGATATAAGGGCTCCGAACGAGGCGAGCAGGGTATACGCTTGCTGAATCCCTCACAGCGAGGATATAAGGGCTCCGAACGAGGCGAGCGGGTTATACGCTTGCTGAATCCCTCACAGCGAGGATATAAGGGCTCCGAACGAGGAGAGCAGGTTATACGCTTGCTGAATCCCTCACAGCGAGGATATAAGGGCTCCGAACGAGGAGAGCAGGTTATACGCTTGCTGAATACCCCACAGCGAGGCTATAAGGGCTCCGAACGAGGTGAGCAAGGTATACGCTTGGCTGCTGCTTCTGTTTTTCTGTTTCCCTTTTGAGTACTACTGAAAAGAAATGAGGGGGTTAGGGTCCCCAGAGAACACATTTATCTATGTGATTTGTGCCCATCCCGACTGAAACTATTGGCTGCCTATTGCCCTTACTTCTCCTATTGAACGAGAGCAGCTTTGCCCTCATCCAACATGGCGCCGGACGGGTCACCCTCTATGACGTCATTTCCTGTCTCAGAATGAGGATTTCCTGTTTAGTTATTTTCGAGCAGAGGCACCGCCCCCTCCTCACCCAGTAATCTCCATTGCTCTCAGTGACGTCATATGTCTGCGCCGTTGGGAACCAAGGGTAAGGCTTGCAGTTCCGGGTCTCATTGTGTTTATTGAGGTTATTCCTGGTTCCAGGTCAGGGGGTTATTATTGTCCTCAGTGACCGCTAATGCAGCCATTCATTACTTAGTGAGCAGCAGGGAGGATACTGGATCTTTAATACAATGCTGTCACAATTACAGACAATTACACTAACATGGAGAGAGAAGGGACAACATGGAGAGAGAGAGAGAAGGAGAGGGGGTAACATGGAGAGAGAGAGAGAAGGAGAGGGGGTAAACATGGAGAGAGAGAGGAGAAGAGGTAACATGGAGAGAGAGAGGAGAAGAGGTAACATGGAGAGAGAGAGGAGAAGAGGTAACATGGAGAGAGAGAGAGAAGGAGAGGGGGTAACATGGAGAGAGAGAGAGAAGGAGAGGGGGTAACATGGAGAGAGAGAGAGAGAAGGAGAGGGGGTAACATGGAGAGAGAGAGAGAGAAGGAGAGGGGGTAACATGGAGAGAGAGAGAGAAGGAGAGGGGGTTATTATTGTCCTCAGTGACCGCTAATGCAGCAATTCATTACTTAGTGAGCAGCAGGGAGGATACTGGATCTTTAATACAATGCTGTCACAATTACAGACAATTACACTAACATGGAGAGAGAAGGGACAACATGGAGAGAGAGAGAAGGAGAGGGGGTAACATGGAGAGAGAGAGAAGGAGAGGGGTTAACATGGAGAGAGAGAGAAGGAGAGGGGGTAACATGGAGAGAGAGAGAAGGAGAGGGGGTAACATGGAGAGAGAGAGGAGGAGAGGTGGTAACATGGAGAGAGAGAGGAGGAGAGGGGGTAACATGGAGAGAGAGAGAGGGTTATTATTGTCCTCAGTGACCGCTAATGCAGCCATTCATTACTTAGTGAGCAGCAGAAAGGATACTGGATCTTTAATACAATGCTGTCACAATTACAGACAATTACACTAACATGGAGAGAGAAGGGACAACATGGAGGGAGAGAGAAGGAGAGGGAGTAACATGGAGAGAGAGAGAGAAGGAGAGGGGGTAACATGGAGAGAGAGAGAGAGGGAGAGGGGGTAACATGGAGAGAGAGAGAGAAGGAGAAGGGGTAACGTGGAGAGAGAGAGAGAGAGAGAAGGAGAAGGGGTAACATGGAGAGAGTGAAGGAGAGGGGGTTATTATTGTTCTTATATTAAACCACACTGACTGATGATCACCGGATCCTAAACTTTCACCTACAGTAATATCTGATACCAAATCTCCATTTGTTAACACTAAATCTAGTATGGCCTCTTTACGAGTTGGCTCCTCAACGACTTGTTTTAGAGACAATCCCAGTAGGGAGTTTAGAATATGCGTGCTCCTGGCACAAGCAGCTATTTTTGTTTTCCAATTCACATCAGGAAGATTAAAGTCACCCATGATGATAACTTCCCCCTTCATTGTCATTTTAGCTATTTCCTTAACTAGTATTATTATTATTATTGCCATTTATATAGCGCCAACAGATTCCGTAGCGCTTTACAATATTTTGAGAGGGGGGCGATGTAACAATAAATAGGACTATTACAAGAAAACTTACAGGAACAATAGGTTGAAGAGGACCCTGCTCAAATGAGCTTACAGGAGGAGGTGGGGTATTAGAAACATTAGGACAGGAAATATCAAGTAGGAGTGAAGTAGAGCTGGAGGAGAGAGCAAAGCACTGTCCCATAGGAGAGAGCAGGAGACAGGTATGTAAGGTAGAGATTACTCTGGGAGGCCATACGCTTTCTTGAAGAGATGGGTTTTAAGGCCCTTCTTAAATGATTGAAGACTAGGGGAGAGTCTGATGGCAGTAGGCAACCTATTCCATAGGAGAGAAGCCGCCCGCCAGAGGTCCTGCAAGCGCGAGTTGGCCGTACGGGTGCGAGTAGATTATCTAACTCTTCAATTTGTCTGTGGGGCCTATAAATCACACCTACACAAGTTACTGTGTGATTACCAAATTCTAACGTAACCCAAACGGACTCTATGTTCGCCTCACTAACTTTTATTAGGCTAGATTTTATGCTATCCTTCACATACAGGGCCACCCCTCCTCCTTTCTTGCCTTCCCTGTCTTTTCTATATAAAGAGTACCCTGGTATTGCTATGTCCCAGTCATTTTTCTCATTGTACCATGTCTCAGTAACAGCGGAGTAACTGAATAAAATGATGGGAGAGATGAGAAGGAAAACCATGAGATTACAGAGTCACAGAGACCGGGTGACTGAAGAGTTTGAAGAAGGAGATCATGATCAATGATGTCAAAGGTAGCAGAGAGGACAAGAATAATTAGTATGGAGTAGTGGCCTTTGGATTTAGCTGCGATTAGATCATTGGTAACTTTGGGGGGCGGAAGCCAAATTGAAGAGGGTCAAGGAGAGTTGGAATTGAGGAAGTGAGACATACGGGTAAAGACAAGTCTTTACAGAAGCTTTGAGGAGAAAGGGATCAGGGATACGAGTCAAAAGTTGTTTTTTTCAGGATAGGTACTACAGTAGCATGTTTAAGGTCAGCAGGGACAATGCCAGAAGAGAGAGAGAGAGCAGTTGAAGATGTGTGTTAAGGAAGGCACAAGACAAGAGGAAAGAGATCGTATAAGGTGGGATGGGATCAAGCTGGCAAGTGGTGGGGCGATAGGAAAAGCACAGCCACCTCTTGTTCAGTAGCAGGGAAGAAAGTCTGAAGGGTAGGAAAGGCATGATCTACGTGTGGTTGAGGAAAGAGAAAGGCAGGGTGGGGAGAATTCTTTCCTTAGCTGTTCAATGTTGTCGGTAAAGTAGCATGCAGAGCTATCGGCTGTAAGGTTAGTTTGAGTGGTGGCCACAGCAAGGCGAAGAATAGAGTTAACGGTGCCTGGGATTGTGGGAGCATGAACTAATGAGAGTGGAAAAGTATGACTGTTTGGCAAGGGCATCGTACAGTGCCATTCTGTGTGTGCTCCTGTTCTGTGGTCAATTTGTTGCGGACCAATCTCTGGCTCAGGTTATGTGGTTATTTCTATGCTAGTATGGGGGGCTGAGGAAATATTTTTTTGAGTGTGCGGTCCTCTGAAAATAATGGCGGTAACTCTTTAATAATTGCCCATGCTCTGCTTGGTCGTTTTTTAAAAACATTTTTTTTAACAAGCTTATAAACTCTCCTGTTTATTTACTTTTTCTGCCTATTCTCAGCCAGAATAGCTTTTCACATTCAGGCACCCCCTCTCTACCCTTCTCTAACACCAGTTGTTTTAAGTGGTAAACTCTCAAAAGCTTGTCTTTGAAATATTCTGTTAGTCCAATAAAAAAAAGGTATCATTGCATATTGCAATAATCTGCTATCCTGGCACATACATACATACATACATAAATACCCTGTATATGTCAGAATAGTTGGTCTGTGGGGGACCCTATAATTGTACATATTCCACCTGTGTGTATAAGGATGGTGTGTATGGGATCATTGTCTTGTATTATATATACCCCATGTGTAGTTTAGGATAGTGTAGTTTATGGGACCCTCTTATTGTACATATTGGCCCTGTGTATATCAGGATAGTGTCTGAGCGTGACAATCTTTATGTTCTTTTCCTCCCTGTGTATACGGATGGTATGTGTGGAACCCTCTTATTATCTATTAGGCAGTAATATTAACAATCATCCATATTTTACCATGAATTGTTTTATATCACAACTGACACTAATTGCAGTAAACTATATAAATAATGAATGACACTTGTTTTTGTGTAGTGTATGGTAGATGCTAATTTTCAGAGCTTATTTGATCAAATCATTAAAAAGCCAAAACAACGAAACAAAAATTTCCATACTCCTTTCATGATGAAGAATGCCTGACCAGTATATTTCTATGCAATAGATTAATTCCTTTAATTTATGTCTCTCATACTCAGACCCAAAAAGGTCATCAATCTTTACTAGCACCTGAGTTTTGTGTTTGGAGAAATTCATCTGGAAGAAGATAGAAGTGATTGGGAGCTTCTTAGACTTGGAGTAGCAGTTTAACGGACAGGTAAGGGTTACAATTACAAAATACATATTTCTTGTCTTCTCATATCTTCCTGCCTTTCTGATAGAGATGCATAACTCAAGGACATTGAAGATCCAAATATGATTGGAATTTGGTCAGCTCGAGTGTGCGGCAATCACACAGATGCATACAGTGTGAAGGCCAAAATCGTTGCTTTCACATACCAATCACGTGCTAAATATGGCATTTGGTAGATTCATAAAGCACTTATTTTAGATTAAGTAGGGACTGGATGGATCCAATAGCAGAAGAATGCACGATCACAAATTTTGATTCCCTTGCATTCCTCATGAGAACAACAAATTTAAGTACTATTTGTCTGCTGGCAGCTCTATCAGCAAGTATGTAAATACTTAAATACACGAATGCAAGAAAGGATAAGCGCTAATCAGTGATACAATAGATTACCTTCTGCAGCAATCACTGAAAAGAGGTACTCCCTCAATAACCCTTAAAAAAATAGCAATGGGGGGTGTGGCAAACCTAGCCACTTGGACAATAACTAGAGACTGTGCCTTTAAGGGTTGCCCCTAGGTCGGGCGAGATATGCGCTTTACACCTATATAGATGTTAAGGTATTTTCCGTGTTGCCTGTAATGCTGTTTCCGCCGAATGCAAATGGCGGTTTTGTATGGGGATTTTCTTTCGTTTCACGAACGGCACTTTAGAAAGCCGTTCGTGAACCGAACGCGATACCCCCTAATAGCCCACACACTTAGAGGCGTGTGGCGCTAGTTAACCGATTGCAACATTGTTGCAATCGGTTATTAGAGGCTCTCCTGGGTGGCCGTCGTTCGACTACCGACCATGCGGCGGTCGGCCATCTTGGATCCCTTGTTCGTCAGCGGGTTCGTGTCGTCGAACGCATACTACTACCAATAGTTATTCGACGGCACGAACACCGCTGAGCCTCCCAGACGTTCGGGAGTTTCAGGACCAGGTTCACCCAAAGCAATCGGTTCCTTTTGTGGGTTTTGTAAGAAATGTGTTTTCTGTGCGGCGTTCGGTTAATTTGGCTGGGATCTGAGCGGCAATCTCACGAATGATGCGCCCAGCCCCCAGCTAACTACCGAACGTCCATTCGTGTAAATCCACCGTATATTTTAAAAGTTATGCATTTTTATATGAATTGCCGGTTCTGCTGCACGAGGGGATAATCCCCTTAACGGTGCATGCTGGGAGGATGATCCCTCTCGTGCAGCAGTGCCTGATGGGAGAAATATGCTATACTGTAAGTCCCCCATGTAGTCCCCTCTGGGAGCGCCCCTGGGGAGGGACTCAGGAAACCCCTTGCATGGGGACTTGTATAAATTGTCGTGCCGATTAAAGGATTGTCAGTTGACTCCCAAAACTGTGTCTCGTCCGGTTATTGGGAGGTTGGGGATATTGCCTTGGTGTTTTCAGCGCTTGACTGTGGATTCGTTCTGGACCAGCGGAATTCGTGGATTTTATATTGGCGTTCCGCTACAATTGGTGGCAAGCGACGGGATCCAACTCTACAGCCGAATACAGCGCATTCGAATGAAAGGAACTACCGAACGGAAAGGCAATTCGTATGAAACAAGCAGACGAAAGCGATCAGTGAATGGGGACTGATTACACGGCGTTAAAGAGACAGACGCTAAAGGAGCTGCTGGAGGCTAGAGGGAAAAGCGCTAGCAATAAATCGAAAGCAGTACTGATTGCAGAGCTAATGGAGGGCGACCAAGCACACAGCAGTCCACCCCCACCTGCCAGAGAGGAAACACCATACCAGAGGGAACTGAGAACCCGGCTGGAATTTGTACCACAGCCAGTAACCCTGGACATCTTAACCGTACTGATGGCGGACGTCCAGGATTATATTATGGCACAGCAACACCAGAGGTCACCATCCAGGGCAGAATCCATCGCCAATTCATTCTGCGCTCCAGTGAAGCAGAAAATACCTTACCAGGCATTTAAAGCATTCTGCGAGGAGAAAGACGAGATTGACGGATACCTGCAGGATTTTGAGCGGTTGTGCGACCTACATGATCTAGAACAGGCTATGTG